TATCCAATATTGAAGCAGATTCAGTTTCGTACACCATTTGCTTCAAATAGCCCCTAAAAAACTCCAAGGTGTCAAATTTGGCGAGCGGGCTGGCCATTCTGTAGGACCTCGGTGGCCAATCCAACGACCGGAACAAGTAGTATCCAAAGAGTTTCTTACTTGTCTGGAGTAATGTGGTGGAGCTCTATCTTAAAAATATACAAAAAAGATGATATACCTGATATCACACTTTCAAATTCATTCAATCTTCGAAATAACTGCATGAATCTTAGAAGGTCATTAAAGGTAAAACTCAATACACTACCTCAAAGTCACCTTGTGTGCGTCGTGACTCATTTTAGCAAAGGCATATGATATTGCAAAAGGTCACTCAAACTGGAAACGCACTCCAAAAAACTCTTCGTACATACAGCTGAAAGTGGTTCAATGTCGAAACCTCAAATCTTTGAAATAGCCGCGTGAATCAATGAAGGTCATTGAATGTCAAAACCAAAGCACTACATCAAAATCACCTTCTCTGCGTCGTTTGGCGTGGATCAAAGTCAAACTCAAGACACCCCCTCAAAGTCACCTTGGCTACTTATTGTGACGTATGTAGAGGTCATTGTCAGAACGCACTCCAAAAGTCTTCATCCATGCAGCTGAAGGTCGTTCAAGGTCAAAGTCAATACACTACCTCAAAGTCAACTTATCTGCGTCGTGTGACGAAAGTCAATGTAGTTCAAATTGGGTTCATTGTGTCGTGTAGGTCCAAAACTTCAAGAAAGCCGCAAAGCTGGCTCGACAATTTTTAAAGTGTGACATCTCTGAAGTATATATCAAATGTTGATTTACAACTATTGCAACTAATAAACATGGCGACGTTATTAGACAACCGCACAATTTATCGGAACCTATCTATCTGGCGATATCAGACATATTCAACAGGTTTTGTGATGCGTTAACAAAAATTTATCCGATCGCTATTGTTCAATGAAACAGGTGACGGCTTCAAATATTGAAAATATCGACAATGATCATCTATTCTTGAAGGGTGGACACTTGAATTATTATTTATAGGTCAATGTTGAGTATTTCTATAATTGAAATCTACTTTTTTATTTTTAGATATGAAACGATCTACTGAAAAAATAGTTATGACTCACATTTTGGGTGAATGTTACAGAAATTATTCATTAGCCAGGTTCACAAGTATTTCCAAATTTGAGTCCTGAAATCAGTCTCAGTATTCGAGATAACGATCAGATGTGGTATAGTCGAAGTAACGAAGTAACAAAGAAATAATGCCGCTACGAATTAGTTCACGTGGACTGAAGAACTGGCGGTTTGTATTGGATAAGTATGACTAACCGAGTTTTATGATTGGCTGAAAAGTCATAAAATTGAATTTGAAGTCATGTTACGGTGACCAATAGAATGTTGAAAAAAACTATTACAAGCAACATTAGATTTGACCGAAATTCCTTTCTCAACTGTACATAAAATAGTCAAAAATAAACCTTATGAACGCAAGACGCGATGTGATGCGGGATTACCAAAACCTTTATCTTGACTGCATTAACCTTTGTCGTTTTTTTTATAGTTATTGTGATTCTTATATAATCAGAAATGATTATTGAATAACGAAATCAGTTAGCTCCCTAACTATTTTATTAAAGGGGAACTGCTGGAAGGTATGGTGCACTATATGGTTTTTTTGATCTATACGCCAGCAAAAATGTATATGATTAATGGTCGCGATTTCATGAGAGAGAAGAGGATTTTGAGTTCTTTAGTAGTCTCCAGAGTTCTTCAGAACTCCTCAGAATTCATCAGAAATCTTCAGAGTTCTTCAGAAGTCTTCAGATGATTATAAGTTGTAGTATTTTAGCAGTCGGATTAGTTTTGCATTGGGTACCACATTGATCGCTTCGAACCAATGGAGACTAAGGTAGCAGAATCGCATTCGACACAGCGGATACTGTATAGATTGTGACAATGATTATGGTCCGAAACATGTTGACGGTGAATGGATACTAGGGAATGAGAATATTTGCTTCGATGATAAACATATAGTCGTAGATAATCTATAGTCGAAAGTACTGTTGGTCTTTTGGAATTACTATTTTCTAAAAATCCCAAAAATTACACGCCGATAGATCATCAGATGTATAAACGTATATTGGAACTCACTGCTGCTCACCGTGATACTGTTGGTAGTTTGAGGGGGCAAGCCGATAAGAAGAAATTCAATGAAATTATCAAACTCCTTTTCAAAACTAAGACTAAGCCTATATACGTGAAGATACATGAAGGGGTGAGTCTGAAACCAAGTCGCCGCCACGTAAAGAGACATTGGAGAAACAATCTAAAGCATTCAACATTTTGGAGTAGGAGGACACGTAGGAGGAGTAGGAATATTTTGGTTGATCGATTGATATATTTGATTGAAGCATATGACCCTCATGATGGCGAAATCACTCTGACTATTACTGAACTTAAAAATGCTGGTATAAATACTAATTCTTTGAATAGACAATGTAAAAAAAATATTCGTCTTTCATTTCACATACGAGAGGTGTGACTTACCAGTCTAAAGCTGGTAGATTTTCAAAGAGCTGATTACGAAACAAATTATAAGATTATTTCCAGAACAAATGGAGTGGATCTCAAGCTGCTCTCAAATGACTATCAGAAAGATATTATTTAAATGTATTTAAATGTACTCCAAAATAATTCTTCTGATACAAGAAAGTATAATCAATTGGAAAAATACACTTTAGACTCCTAATAATTCACTCTTGTGATACATGAAACTATATTCATTTGGAAAAATACACTTTAGACTCCTAATTTCATTCAAAAATTATCAAAATGTTATCCTTCAAACAACATTTCTTCTAAATATATGGAAGCTCGAGATAATTCCCTTTGAATATAAGAAGCGAGCTTGGATATGATTGAAATTACCATAGAAATTCAAAAACTCACCCCTCAAGATAATGACACAAACACCATAAATCTCAACTATTGTTTGTATTGTTATTATTACTAGTATTAGATGCAACTGATTGCGTCCGGACCTAACGCCTATGGACTTTTCACCTCTGGGGAAGGTTAAAAGATCTCATTTTTATTTTGCCGACCAATTCTAGATACGGATTGGAAGCTACAATAATGCAAAGTTTTGCTTCTCTTACTCATATTGAAGTAATTAATTCGGCAAAAAACGTTCAGAAAAGGTGTCGCAAGTGTGTAGGAAAAGCTGTACAGACATTTCAAACACCCTCTCTGAAGAAATATATTTCATTGTTTGTTCTTTATCATTTTTTTTTCACCGTAGTGTGCGCTGGTCAGGCCCTATCCCCCGAAGCCTTCGAGAAGGACTACATCAGGCTTGTTAGCTTGTATGAGCCTGAGGGCTCATACAAGTTTCATTTATCAGTAGTCTATGCTAGTAGTCTATGCATTATAAATAGTGCTGTGATAAGCTTTCTCAACATTTGGTACCTACTTGATCAAAGTGTGCGTTTCAAAAGTCTACATGAAAAAACCTAAAAGCTCTGTATTTCAAGTGTGCTGCATTTTTGAAAAGGTAATTTTGAGCTCTATTGAAACTTTTTGAAGATGCACATTTTTTTCTCGTAAAATCGAAAATAAACGTGATGATACAATGATAAAATTTCCCCCCCTCTTTTTCTTGGGTTTAAATCGAAAAATATCGAATATTACGAAAAAATTGATGTGAACTAAAATTGTAGGGAACTCAAGCAGCTGAAGGTCGTTCAATGTCGAATCCTTGGAACCTCAAAATAGCCGCAACAAACAATGAAGTCATTAAATGTCAAACCCAAAACACTACCTCAAAGTCACCTTGCCTGCGTCGCCGTGTGACGTAGGTCAAGGTCGTTCAAGGTTAAACTCGAAACGCCTCCTTAA